CGAGCGTGAACATTGGAACGCGCACGCTGATACTTTGCATGTTAATCTCCAGCTCGCTCAAGGCATTCGCCTGTGCTGTCGCGACTTTCTGCTGCAGGCATGCTACTGCAGTAGAACCGGTAGTTTGCACCGACAAGCAACTGTGGCTTTCTCTGCATGCTGGCTTACAAAGCGAACATGCCTGGAAGTAAATGCCCAAGTCTACCACCACTTCCTCCAATGGTGCCAGAGCAACCGCTCATGCTGCTGCTCAGAACTTGCGAGGACCTGGTTGCCGACCACCATGCGAACTTGCGTTGGATGCGGCTCACACCTTCCATACTAAATCGTGCTGCCACCGGGAGCAAGCATTCACCAAAGATATACAAGACTCGTGCTTTCCGTTCGTTAGCTTCTGGCAGACCTGAGCATCCAGCGCTCACACACATAATCTCACACGCAGGCACATAACATTGTCCGGGTAACCCATCGACATCAGCCGAGATTAATCGGCTTGCATGAGCCGCTGGGACATATTATTGAACTAGACAGGCAAGTCACTTCAACCGAATTGGGCCCACACACTGAACCGAAAGATGGCAGCGGTTCTGGGATTCTGGCAATCTCACCGGTGGCCACGGTTTCCTGCAGTGGCGGAATGTTTCACCGACCCCGGCAAGTTCCCCCAGCACACCGCGGCCTTGCCATCTTTCAGAACGTCCACCTCCAAGCACGCACCGCTAGCTCCACTGTGCTGTCTTCTTCGCCGTTAAGACTCCAGAATCGCAAATGCTTGCCTTGATGGGATCTGTGAGAAGCCGATTCTGTGTCGTCGGCGGAAACTCGAAGATCTGCAAGGTGGTGAGAACAGTCCCCCATGTCAATGTACAAACGGACCTGCGTGACCCATGTGCTGGTGCTCTGTGCAAAATCAGAAACTGCAAGAAAAGGACACACAAATAAAGTCTACACTTGTGCGACGGAGGGCATCCCCCCAAAATCCCAACTTTGCGACCATATCAGTTGCAACCTACCAAGAAGTGTGGCAATCACCTCTGCGGCCGATGCTTCAAGGAAAACTTTCGTGTCACGCTAGGAGACGACTGTCAGTGCTGCTTGCTGTCTTTGCTCTAAAACGCCATGCTTGCAAAGCAGAGCATCGTGCCTCGACCTTGTTCTGGAAACGAATGACTCCGCCAACGCTCACTTGGCACGCCCTGTGTACATGGCAGGAAGAATCGAAATCCTGATATGCCCACGTCAAAAGACAATTCGCAAGGGGGACGTGGTCTTGTATTGCCCGTTGGCACCTCAAGCAAGGTGGGGCGACAAGGGAAAATCAGCGAATGCGAATGAAACGTGCATTGTCACTGAGTTTCTAGCTGATCTTCAAGGCGAAACAGCTCCCAAACGGAAGGCCTGTGATCAAGACTTCATCACGCTAGCTGCAAGGGCTTTGAGGCAGACATGATCTGTGTCAATTCGCTGAGATCGCTGCCCACTACACGATATGGGTAAATGGCGAGCTCGTTCGTCTCGGACCTACGAGCACAAAGCCTCAGAAAGCAGCAGACTTCCTCATCGGGTCCAGGCCCTCCGAGCTGATTATCAGATTGCTCCGTGATGGAGATGTTGCAGTACGGCCTCTGAAGCACACAAAGTGCTTGCTTTCACATCACAGCTCTCCGAACTTGAAGCCGCGCCTGAAGCCGAAACCCAGCTCGACATCCTGCAGAAATCCGAAGCCGCCCTTCACCCAGATCTCGGCAGCAAGGCGCAGTGGCAACATGATGCTTTGCAGCCCGTGCAACACTGGCAAACGTTCCACGGAATCAGCCAAGGAACCCGAGCAACTTCCGCCGAGAAGGCTTGAAGCAACATCCGGGCATCATAGCAGTCACTGCATTATTTGCAGAGCATGAATGTACATGCCTGCAGAAGACATCAGGACACGGAGGCGAATGGCCAGCGCACGTAGCTGTAGTTTTGATTCGCTTAGGAAAAGTGGCGGAAGGCACAAAACAAACCGAATGAATCGTTCAAGTAAACAGAGTATTTAGACAAACATACATACATAAACATGGCCTACGTAACTCCAAAAACTCCTTATGCACAAACGCAGGCCCGAGGATCGACCCTTCTGTATCTATAGATTATACCGATGCGTGTGCGATATGCATACACTATGCACGAGATGCATCCATTCATTGGCTTTTCTTCGCGTCGGACAGTATGACATTCACAGAACTTTCGTCACGATGCCTTGCGCATCAGCACCAATCAGCACACGCAATCAAACCCTCAGCGATTCGCGAAGGATTGGCATTCCGGGCCCGCCCCCCAATGGTGTGGTCGTATGGTAGGGGCGAGGGGGGGGGGGGGGCTGGGGCTGGCGTGCGGAGTGGGGTCGGGGGCTATTGGAGCCGCAGCTGGAGGGTGGGGTGCTTCTGGTGGGGCGGCAGAAAAGGCGAAAAGGCCGGGATCTTGCGCAAGCCCTACGGCCCTATAACCTAGCGCGTGCTCTTGTTTTCACTAACCTGTGCTTTAAACCCTATACCCGACCCTAAACTCCGCCTAACTTCAAGCTCTGAGCCTAAAGCAGAACATAAACCGTCAACCCTGACGAACCTGCGCCACAAACCTTCCCCAAGCCCTCGTCGACTCGAAGCCTTATACTTCTGAACCCTAAACCCTAAACCCTAAACCCACAAGCTTAAGCAAAATATAGCTAAACGCTAGACCCCAAAACCCACATCCACCCCACGGGGCGAAGAGGGACCCCAGGGCAGGATATCGAGTTTCGCCATGCAGGGCAGCCACTATTCTTCAACTTCTTCAAGCTCGTGCGCGGTGCGGGACCATCATCGAAGTCATCAGCCGGAGACAGAAGCTTTCGAGCTCCAAGCTCATGATGCAAAGGACATCCGATGCTCCCTTGCTAAGCATCCACAGGCTGAGAACGACTATGTGCGAGTAGACACAAAGACACTCAAAGTGATGAAGTGCCACGACGATCCCTGAGGTGAACAAAGCCTGCGTTCCCCGTTGCTCAAGGGGGCAACCGGCCCGAGCTTTGGTCGGTCAGGATTTCTGAAATAAGCCCCCGCGCACCCTGAAGGCCCCCAGAAAAGCTTTCTGATTATGAGGGCCCATGCAGACGCTACCTGCAATATTTTCTGAAGCCATATTCATGCTGATTGGATTACTTGCAATGAGGAGCTGCACATCTGATGGTTGGACAGCGGACAGATTGACGATTTTCGATGGAATAGGGAAACAAAAGTGGATTTCTGGAGCTTCACACTTGAGACCCAGTAAAAACGAATCAAGGCCGCGGGACGTCGGAGTGCAAAGCAGCAATGTGAAGTTGCTCATCTGCCAAACTGTTGACAAATGGCTTGCTTTGCAGCACCGACTGAGTTCGGCACGTTTGGCTCGAACTCCACTCCCAACCTCTAAATATACAAACTAGACTGCAAATAGAAACGGCAACCTTGGAATCGGACTGAAAGTGCTTCGTGAAGAGCAGCCAGGCTGGAGAAGTGAAGTTGACCTGAGCAAGCGGTCAAATCCGCGAGAGTCTCCTCACCACGCTTGCCTGCACTCTCCACAGAAACATAGGGACCCTTCGGGGGGCCCTTCCCCTCAACCCCCCTAAAGGTCCCTATGACAAAAAGTCAACTGAATAAACACACTATGCACATCTGCGGACATGCAACCCATGCTCGAAGACTGGAACTCCTCTCCCAGACCACTGGCTTGAGTGGCTCGAACATCTCCCCAATATGCCCCTGAATTCGCCGCTTTTCCGTTCCTGTGTCCTCTAGATCCTGCCATCACGGGCAAAGAGACAGGCGGGAAGGCCGCGACCGCCCTTGGAAGTATCGCTGGTACTGCGGCAGCTTTTCAACGGTACTATGTGCGACATCAATCTACTCTTCAGGTCGAGCAAACGGAGCCGTGGAAAGCCTCAACAAGTTTTCGCAGGCTGATTTGCAGTTGCTGGCGCAGTTTCAGTCTGCCTCTGAAGCAGCAGGAAAAGGAACCAACGAAGCCCTGGGGAACGTTCCTAGCGAAGGGAAAACCTACGAGACACCTCGAATGTCACAAGCGGACAAGGAAGGATCGGTGCCCAAGAGCGCACACCCCAGATAATCCAGCATTGGAGCATATTATCAGGAAGCAGAGTTCTTGGACAGTTTGACAGGCTGCATGCGGAGATCCCATGCTCCGAACAGGCTGACTTGAATTCGGAGTGCAATGCAGAAAAACAGGTCGATGGTCCAAGGATACTCCTAAGACGCGAAGCAAGGACCGATCAACATGCACGTCCGTTGGGTGAAGCTGTGGCAGGCGACTCGTGGTGAGCTCTGCGTTTTGCAGGCAGGGCCTCCAAGCCAAGCTTTGAGCCTTAAACATTCTTTGCCCCTGTCCAGATGCTTCTCAGAGCTCAGCAACTACTCGTGGATGTGAACACCTACGGTATCGGACCTATCGCACCTATCTCCCTTCTCAAAAGGAGGAAAGTCCCTGACGTTCTTCATCTCGACAGAGAAATTGTGCTGCTCGCCGAAGGTCTGGGTACAGCAATTTCAGATGCTGGCTGTCGAGAAGGACATGCGGCAAGATGTTGGATCTGTGTGGGGCTTTGGGCACCGTGCCGTGTCGAAGTGCATCGTCCCGCGGCTGAGCAACTTCGTTTCCAGGCCTCGGATCCACGAAACAAGACATCCTAGAAGCCCCCACAGAGATTTTAAGAAAAGACGAGTAGATCTGGACCGAAATGCACGGGGATCCTTGGTGCAAGGACCCGTAGGAAATCTAAGCGCCCTTGCCGACTCGCATGGTGCCCTTGAGCTGTCCGATGTGGAAGATCTGAACATCGGGAAGAATTCGACGAAGCCCAAGTTGCCCCAAGTTGGCCTTCATGTTGATGCTCCATCCTGGGGTCACCGTAATTGGCGTTCCACCTCCGACGTGCAAGAAGTACCATCGCCCCATGCAAAGCAATGAGGCAAGGCCTATGTGAAAGGTGAAGGGGCGCATAAACTGCGCCGTATCTGTCCTCTTGGAAACTCTGATTCGACTTCGGCGTCATCGTGTGAGATCGCTGGGGTCGAGACTTCAGCTTGCTGAGGATCGGAATAGGAAAGACGTCTAGCATGTTGTGAAGCACGGATGAAGACCTGCTCAGGAGCAGTGCTGCAGACGGTCCTTGACGCAGATCCCGACCTGTCTTCGTCAAAGTCTGCAGCTGTGCCAATGTCCAGGTCTAGGTCTGCAAAGCCTGAAGCACGGGAGCCACGAGTCAGTGCAAGACTGGTGTCTGGCACTTCAAGCAGTCGGACTCTGAACGAGGATGTCCACTGTCTCATGTGGCCTCGCTGTGTTCAGCGATTTCCCCACATGATCCCGGCAATGACAAAAAGCAACGATACGACTCGGGCAATGACGCTTGCGTGATGTCCGGCATATGACTACTCAGGTTCATCGTAAACCCGAGCCACGCATGCACCTTCGGCTTGAAGAGCCTGCGAGTCGCAACATCATCTTACCGAGCACCTTTTGTCCATGCAAAAGGGCGCCTGAGCCACGCCGTTCCACCCGGAAAGGTGTACTTGTACTGAGGGTTTTGTGTGCTGTTGGCCTGATGCTCCAGGCTGCGAGGAGGGGAACTGGCCAGACCGTGACCTGCCTCATATGTGTAGTTCCAATGAAACCGATCCTGCTCAGTCGGATTGTTCAGATTGAAGAAGGTTTTGTCCTGCATGCAGAGGTAGAGTGCTAGCCTCACTTCAACTCAAAAGCAACTGGCCGCCACCTGGGCGTCGTTGGCCTTGTCAGGTGTGAAGCCCGTCTTCATCTTGAAGTTGGTACCTTGTGTACTTCTGCACGGTCATAGGTGCCAGAGAGGGTTGTACACAACCGTTCTGGAGTAGACCACTGCAAATCACGGAAAAGAAGTCATGTCTGACCCTGGCAGTAGAACTATAGACGTGAGATCACGAGGTGGCCCGAGGGGAACCCTGCCGCGGTGCACAGCCCTGGGGAGCTGCAATCTGCACAGATGTACCATGCTAGTCTGGCCGCGTCCTTACAACCCCTCCAAGAGCGCCCAGTAAGGATGGCGCCATGCACATCACCCACGCTGTTCAGGCCGTCCCGCACCAAGTCCATAAACGACTCAGACAGGCCTCAAGCCGCAGCAGGGTCGGGGCTTCCTAGCCTCTGCCACATGCTCCGAGATCTTCACGCCGATGCTTCGACCGTTCCCTGACAAGCACGACGCACACGGAAAGCAAGAATATCTTCAACAAAAGAGGAGCAGCTCTGCCTGAGTTCACGCTGCAGGACCTGAGGGTCCTTAGCCCCTGCAGGCATGATATGGATGTGGAACCTCGCACGCGATCTCTCATACCATATACTGTTCATATACTGCTCAGCGATCAAGGAAAAGCTGAACCTGCATGACCGAAATACTTCTTGAGCTGTCGCCAGCTCCTCACGAAGTGAAGTCGAGCAGGAGGATAAGACAAGCACATCATGCATGATGCGGCAATCAAAACGCACAATCTGAAAATCCTTGGTGTGCAGATCCACAAGCGCAGAATCTGCTTCCAACATAGCTATCTGGCAGGGCGAAGCGAAACCCACGACGGTATTGCACCACTAACCCGTGCCTTGCGGATCTTCTGAATTCGGTGGTATAAATTTTTTTCTGCAAGGTGCTTGCCTTAAGTCAGCATGGAGCCATGCACTGCAGAAAGCAATGCAGGTGCAAGAGCGTCTGGCAGGGATGCAGCATGTGTGAAGCAGTGACATGCTCCAGCTTCTCCATCCGGTGCAGGGTGTCCTTCGGAACCTGATCCGCGGGTGCTGGTCTCGGTGACAGAGCTGATGCGTTGCTGCGCCAGTTTAAGACGTGTAAGCAGGTGTTTGCGTGCGTGTATGCCCTCGTTGGTGCGTGGGCAGGTTGGTTGATTGGTGCTCCTTTTTGTTTTCTGTGCCGAAGGTCACGAACAGGGAAGTATATTGTCTTTCGTCGTTTGTTCTTTGTATAGAGGACTGGAAACGGTCTTAATGACTCACCTGTCTCTTCGCCTCTGGAAGCACTCTCTGGAAAACTGTGTAGACTACGGAGAAACAGCCTTGTGCCTGTGTCTGTGTCTGTCGGTCTGTCAGTCTGTCAGTCTGTTAGTCTGTCAGTCTGTCAGTCTGTCAGTCTGTCAGTCTGTCAGTCTTTCTGTTAGTCTCTCTGTCAGTCTCTCTGTCAGTCTCTCTGTCAGTCTCTCTGTCAGTGTCTCTGTCAGTGTCTCTGTCACTGTCTCTGTCCGTGTGTCTGTCTGTCTGTCTGTCCGTCTGTCTGTCTCTGTCTGTCTCTGTCTGTCTCTCTCTGTCTTTGCTTTGCTTTGCTTGGGCCTTGGGGCGGGAGCAATCCTCTCTCTGTCTCTTTCTGTCTCTCTCTGTCTCTGTCTGTCAGTGTTTCTGTCTCTCTCCCTGTCTCTCTGTCTCTCTCCCTGTCTCTTCTCTCTCCGTCTCTCTGTCTCTGTCTCTCTCTCTCTCTCTCTACCGGGCGTGGGGTTCAGGCCAGCGTTCAGGGCCATCCCCCCGTGCGGTCCGCACACCCGCGTTTCGCGGATGGTTCGTTTTCCCCCCAGGGTCTTCGTCCTGAGGGGCTCAGCTTTACACGCCCCCATTTGGGCCTGAAACCGGCACTGGTGGCTTCTGGCCCGGGGCCGGAAAGAAAGTCAGCGATCCCCCTCACGGCTGAACAGCTGCACAACAGTGAATGTACATGTGTTCTGAGGGCCCGGCCAGGGATCTGCATGGAAAAACAGTGTAGCTTTGCAGAACAAAGGTGTCGCCCCCATGACATTGCAAACTACTCAAGTGTGCTTCCCCCTAGCTTCGCTGACTGAATGCTGCTCGGCTTACAAGGGCTCCCCCGCTAGAAGGTGACGTAGTCAAGACAAAACATTCTAGGTTGGTCCCCCTTCTAGCTAGTAGGGCCCATGCTTGCCGTAGAAAGCTGCCTGCAAACGCCTTCGGCGATGGCTCCCCCCATCGTCATCGTTTGGACGTGGGCTTCGTGAGCGGCCTCTCTCACTGCGGACTTGCCCAGGTCCCCCTCCATGCCATTGTGCCGGCCACGGGAGTGTGGTGGCTTGACTCTCGCTCTGAGTGGGTAGGGTATCCATTTCCCCCACTGCATTGACTGCCTGCTGTAGGCTTGCAGTCATGAGGGCTTCCATCTGGGTCGCAGTGAGAGCTCCCCCTTCTAGTGGGGCCTGTTGCTCCCCCTCGTCAGCGGCGCGTGAGTTCTCCCCCTCGCCGGTGTGGTCGCGAAGCTGCGCGTCGGAGCCGTCGGCGTTCACGGGCTCCTGGTTGTGGGCCGCTGTCTCCTCGTTGGTGTTCTCGCGAAGCTCCTCGGGCGGGTCGTCGGCGTTCGCTGGCTCCCCGTTGTAGGCCGCCGGCGCTTCCCCCGTCTGGGTACTCTCGTGTACCGCATGTACTCCCCCGAACAGGGCTTGTTGCCAGGCTTCGATAGCGTGTAGTAGTTCAACCACTGGCATGAGAGCAGTGTCCGTTATGTACGGCACTATCTCCCTGAGTTGCCGGGCTGCTCGGAGAAGCCTCTCTGTGGCGCTGGCCCGTCGGTCGGTGCGGGCTTCCCTCTGTCTGTGTCTGTCTGTGTCTGTCTGTGTGTGCCTGTCTCTGCTGTCTTTCTTTGCTGTCTTTCTCTGCCTGTCTGAGTCTGTTTCTGTCTGTCTCTGTCTGTCTCTGTCCGTCTCTGTCTGTCCCTGTCTGTCTCTGTCTGTCTCTCTCTCTGTCTCTCTCTCTGTCTCTCTCTCTCTGTCTCTCTCTCTGTCTCTCTCTGTCTGTCTGTCCGTCTCTGTCTGTCTCTGTCTCTCTGTCTCTGTCTGTCTCTGTCTGTCTCTGTCTGTCTCTGTCTGCCTGTCTCTGTCTGTCTGTCCGTCTCTGTCTGTCTCTGTCTGTCTCTGTCTGTCTCTGTCTGTCTCTGCCTGTCTCTGTCTGTGTGTCTCTCTGTCTCTCTGTCTTGCTTGCTTGCTTGCAGGGCGGTGGGAAGCAGAGTGCGGAACCCTGCCCCCCTGCGCGCGAGCGCTACGCCAGTGTCCGAGTCCGGTGTGAGACGTGAGGTGCGGAGCCAGGTCGGGTGTAGCTTCAGTATCGCCCCCAAAGCAACACATGCAAGAGCCCCCGTAACCCCTCAAGGCAAGTACCCGCCTGGCTCAGCACATCTGTGTTGGTACAAAAAGCTTGTAGGTATTCTACAATGCTGTCGCGCGCCCCCGAGCTGTTTGCGTTCCGTAGGACTGGGAAAAACACCACTCACCGCAGACTAGAAACTCGTTAGCACGGTCACTTCGGCTCGGGGCGGCTCCTGTTCAGCACTCTTTCCTGGTCTGGTAGCTGGATTGGTGGATTTTATGTTGCTTGTGTCAGTGCGGGACCCCGGGAGGAAGCAATGGGGGAGCAAGGCAAAACAAACACTAGGGGGAACATCACAAAGCTTGGGTCCCCGCACTGGTGGTGATGGTGTTGTGGTGGGGCTCCGGTGTTGTCGGGGCAGGAAGCAAAAGGGGGGTCAGGTTAGCCAGAATAGGGGATCGCCACAAACTGCACCGGAAGCCCCGTAGGTGGATGCTAGTGGTGGTGTTGTCGGTCGCACACTTTGAAAAAACCCCCGGCAGCTCGGTTACGCACAGCTACAGCGGGACCCCTTTAAGCAAACAGCATCCTAGCTTGGCTGCCTAACACAGTGTCAACATGGTCCCCAGGGGCTGTGCCCCGCTTTTAGTGCGGGTCGAATGCGGCATGCATTCGTCGTCTACGGTGCGTGGCCCTATTTTCCGGGCTCACATCGCTGTCCCCGTTCAAGTGGTCTTGTTGTTGGGAGCTTCTCCCGAATCGGGTTGTAGGCGACGAGGTCAAGTCCCCGAGCACTAAGCGTCTGCGTCGTGGTAAGCCCCACGCTTCATCTTCGGTGTCGGTGCCAGGGACGTCATTGGCATCCCATCCTTCGAAGGCTTCCCGCCGCATGGCCGTCATGTGGCGTCTTCGGTCGTCCCCGTGCATTTCGGGAAGTGGCCCTACCGCTTCTCCCGCTGGCCTGCACAGTGCTTCTTCAGGCCCCGGGCCAGGGGCGGCTGGTGGCGGGTCCCACAGCACGGTCTCTGCTTCCTCCGGCACGAGCTGGATGGGTTCCCGCCAAAGTGCCGTTGTCCACTGTTGCAGTAGTTGTAGGGCTTCCGTGGCCAGCGGGACTTGGTCCCCGACAGCTGTTGTAGAAGCTCTTGTGCCCGCAACACCATAAAAGGCGTGGCTTCGCCGCTGGAGCCGCCCAGAGCTGCAGTGGGTTCCCCGCGTTCCTCCCTGGTGAACCTTTGTCTTTTGGTTGCCGGTTGCCCTTCTGCGGGTCCCATGTCCTCGGTGCCTTGTGGTGGTGGTCGTGCTTGATGTAGGCCAGCTGTAGCAAAAATCCCTGTGTTGGTGCGGCTGTGAATGGCGGTGCTGGCTGCTGCTGTGTGGCTGTGGGTGCCGGCATCAACGGCAGCTATAGGGGGAAGTGCCGCTCTCTGGCAGGCTGTGTCGTATCTCCGCTGTCTGCTTGCGTAATTGTGGCCTGCGGGTGGTTGGTGGAGGACTGCTCTGAGTCTGCTGCTGCGGCTTCAATGGCCAGGATGGTGCGCAGCATTGCTTCTTGCGTCTCTTCGCTAGGCAGGAGCCAGGTTGGTCCCCTAGGTGGAGGGCAGGTATCTGGCGCTGCTGATCGGGTTTCCAGGTTGTCTGTGGGTCCCTGGAATCCCTGTCTGCTGGAGCCTGCAGATGCTGTTGCCATGCTTGACGGTAGTAGTAGATCGCGGAGCTGGCGAATGTTGTGGTACTGTGGCGGTTGTGGTTGTGGTTGCTCCTGGTTGTTTTCGGAGGTCTGCTGGGGCTCCGGCTGCTGGTTGCTCTGTAGATGCATGTTGGTCTGCATGAGGACGGTGGCTGCTGGGCTTTCTGCCTTCTTGTTGACTTTGCTCGGTGTGCTTGTGGCGTGGCGGGTCTGCTGCGGCTTCACCTGCTGGTCTGCTGTCGTCCTTCTGGCTCTGTCAGGGTACAGGCTGCTGGTCCCCGTTTGTCGCTGTGTGAAGGTGGGTTGGCGTGTTGTTGTGGGGGTGGTCTGCAGGAGCTCTGTCCTGTCATCCTCTTCCGGTGGGCCTCCGCTTTGGGGGGGGTGGTGGTGCGAGCGAGGGCCTGGCCTTGGGCACACCTGGGGCATGGAGGGCTCCCCGCGGGTTCCTGTGGAACTGTGCCTGCACTTCCATTGGGGCTGGGATCTGCAGCACTCCACGGAAGGAGAGGTCCCCGACGGTTCGCTCGACTAGGGTCCAATCCCCTTGGTCCCAGACGATCTGCGCATGTCGATGCTGTCTGGCAAAGGTTGTTCTACGCCAGGCGCCCTGGACGGCCCCTCGTCCACCTCTATGAGCCAAGCCCTCGGAAGCAGGGAGGTCGTCAGACTCGCAGCTTGCGAGCGGTGGCCAGCACGGACACTCCCTCTGGCAGGTAGAGGTCGTGGCCGGCAGTGTTGGTTGGGTCGAGGAGGACTTGCGGGTATGTGCCTTGCACCACAAAGGGGCGGCCCCCGCGTGAGGTCAGTCAGTATGACCCGCATATCCCAGCGTCCGTTTCCCCGATAAAGGCACACCAAATTGTTGTTCCGCCTCAGGGGGAACGTAGGGGGGAGGGTTGGCGGTGTGCCTGTTTCGACGTCACGAGGGTGCAGGCGCTGACGGTACTGTCTGGGGGGGCGTGGCTCTCCTGGCTGCGTGCGATCCGCAATTAATAGTGCCCTGCTGGCGGCTTGGCCGGGTGTGGGGTGGATCCCCGGCGGTGGTGGCTGCAGGAACAGCAGGTTCTACTGTCCCTCTGGCTTCTGCTGCTGCTCGCGCTGCGGTGCCTTGCTTGCTCCGTGGGTCTTCAGCTGGGTGCGGTGGCATGCTGTATTCGTACGGCTCAGTTGTCCCCGCTGCTGTGGTTGACGCTGCTGGTTGTGGTTCCTGCGGTTGCGGGGTGTCCCCGTGGGTAGCGGCTGTGGTGTCGGTGTTCGTAGGGCTTGCCGGTTGGGCTGGGTCTGGAGCGGTCTGGCTGCTGTGTGGTGTCCCCGCTTGGCTGTGCTGGCTGCCAGTGGCTTGCCCAGTCGGCTGTGTCCCCCGTTGTGGGTTGAGGGCCCCGATGGAGAGCAGGTGGCGATTGAGGAGCTCTGCCCAGTTGGTGTCCTCCTCCGCGGGTCTTGTCTGGCCGGGTGGATCACTTTTCAGCTTCTTTCCACGTGAGGTGCTCTGGCTTCCCAGCCGCGCTGTTGAAAAGCGGCTTGCACAGCCGATTTGTGGTTTTTATTCCTCGTCCGTTGTTCTCCGCGGCCTTCTGGCCATCTGCTTTGCCTATCCACCCTGCCGGATGGTGGTGGCTCCGTCTCTCTGGCCTCTTGTTGGTGGCTGGAGCTCGCCGCTGCTGCAGTGGAGGCGGGTGTGTGTGTGGGTCCCGCTGGCCTCGGCCTGGAGCGCTGGAACCTGCTTTGGTTGGGTGTCGGGTGGATGGGTCCCTGTCTTTGTTGCGCGGCCGGCGTGTTGCTGTGCGGTGGCGGGTCCAAGTTGGTCCCCGTGGCTGGCTGCGACCGTGGGTGGTCCGTGGGATGCTGTGACGGACGGTGGGCTCCGTCGTCTTGTGGTGGTGGCTGTGGCTCCGCCCTCGCCTGTTCCTCCTGCGACGGGCCTCGTGGATGCTGCTTCGGTGGATTGGTGTGCTGGTGGTGACTGTTGTGGGGTCTGCTGTGGGGGCGACTGTGTTGCGCCAGGTTGCTGGCTTACGTGACTGGTCTCCATGGGTGGCTGTGGCTGTAGATTTCCACTGGAACGACCCACCCTCAGTGGACCTCTGGTCGCAGCTGCGAGCCACACTCGACCGCCTAGACGGTGACCCGGTCCTCTCCACGGGGGCAATCTCCGCCACAGCAAACACAGCCCCAGCGGACCACTCCCAACCGCAACCACAGCTCCAGTACCACACACAATCACCGCAGCACCAGCAGGCGCCAGAGCAGGAAGCGGCAGCAGAAGAAGAAGACGAGGCCGAGGATACAGAAGAGGAGGATCAGGATGCCCCTACCTGCCACCAGACCGGCCCACCGCAGAGCCGTCCACAACGGGACCATGTCAGCCCGCACCCGACTGCCCAACCAACCTTTGCAGAACGCGGCCCAACCACCACCACCACAGCAAACCAGACCACAAGGGCCCCGTGGTGTGCGGTTGTGCTCCGCCGTCGTGCTGCGGGGGGATCCCCGGTGGCTGCTTCGTCACTGGGGGTTGGGAGGTGACCTGGTTGGGTCGTCCTCCTGGCGGTCGTTGAGGGGGGTCCTTCACGGGTGGTTTGGTGTTGGTGGGGTAGGTTGGTTGGCGCGGGCTGAGCGGTGGTGCCTTGCACACTGCTGGCTCCGGAGGTGCTTTTTTGGCCGCTCTGTCGGTGGTGGGGGGAGGGGGGTCCGTGGAGGAGGAAGCCGGGTTGGTGGTGTGGCTGTGGTTGGTGATTGTAGTTGGCGGCAGTTGGCGGTCGTCGCTGCCAAGAGGCTGGCCCAGATGGCCGCTTGGGTAGCCGGCGCCTCGTCCTCTTCTGGTGGAGCAAGGGGCAGCTCATCATCGTCTGAGTCGAGTGGCTGGGTTGCTGTGGCTGGCAGAGTGTGCACCTTCTGTGCACCCGAGGTCGGTGGTGCTGAGCTGTCTGCTGGCTCGGGGGGCCGGCTGTCCCCGCGTGTGTTGGCTGGATCGTAGGGAGGGGCGAATCTAGGCCGGCCTATCCGCTGCTGTGCTGCGGTGGGTCGGCGGGCCCCCGTCGGCTTGGCTGTGGTGCTGGGATGGGCGTGCTTGTGGTAAGAACTGTGGAGTGGTGTTGGTCGCTGTATTGGGGGTCGGCTGCTGGGATGCTGCTCCACTCGTCCTCCGGTGGCCCCGTTGCTTGCGTGGTGGTCGGGCTGTCGGTGGTGGTGGTAGCTGTGGTGGTGTGCACTGCTGCTGCGGTGGCGAGGTTCGTCTGGTTTTCGTCCGAGGGTTGGCTTCGGCTCGCAGGTTTGCTTTGGTGAGGGCGCCGGTGATCTTGCGAGGATCGTGTAGTCGCGGGGGTCCTGGTGGGTGGTAGAGGTCGCTGCTGCCTCCGCCAGGCTGCACTGCTGCAGCAGAGCTCGCTGTTGGTGTCGTGTTGTCGAGGTGCTTCCGGGCCCCGTAGTAGAAGTCGCTGTAGGTGTTCCCGGTCCAGCTGGAGGGGTCACGGTAGTCGCTGCCGCTTTGTTCGGCTTGGCTGGGTTTCCCCTGGCGACAGAACCTGCTTCTCCTTTGTAGGCGTAGGGCTCGCGAAGCTCCCGGATCTTGCGGTTGATCGGGTCGTTGGAGGAGTACTCGTGGTGGTGCTCGTGCCTGCCTCCTCGGCTGGTGCCGTCGTGCTCCCAAAGGATCGTGTAGAGGGGAGGCTCCTGGGTCCCGTGGTAGAGATCGAAGAAGGTGCTGCCAAACTCCTGGGGGTGTTCCCCTCGGTCCTCCTGTCTGCCGCCTCCCCAGGTGGGCCTGTCTCGGGAGCCGAGGCCTCATCGGTACTTGTAGAGGAAGAAGTCGCGAAGCTTCCGGTTCTTGCGGCTGATCGGGTGGTCGGAGAGGTCCCCGGGGAAGAGCTCGCGCCCCCGCTGCTAGGTGACCTCGGCGCGGTCGTGGAGGGTCGTGTAGTCGTTGGGGTTCCGGGCACCGCGGCTGCGGCCTCCTGAGGTAGCCGGATCTTCCCAGGTCCGCTCCATTTCGTGCGGCGCTCGCCGGCTCTGAGTGGGGGTCCCCGAGCCGAGTTGTGGTTAGGGCCAGCAGAAAGCCAGCTGCGGCTGCCCATGGCATGAAGCGGTAGGCCGCCGGCATGATCTGAGGTCGCTGGCTTTATCTCTGACTTTCGAGGCTTTAGCGCTGCTGTGCACGCAAACGGCTTGCACCGGCAGGTCCCCGGTTAGTCTTCATGAGCTTGCGTGCGTGTATATGTATATCGGAGAGAGGGAGTAGGAAGTGGAGACGAGAGGGGGGAATATGTATATTTGCGCTGCTTCCGTGGCGGGTCTCCTGCTGGTCCTTTTTGGTTGTGGCTCTTTACGGGCACATTCCCCCGGTAATCGCCAACAACGCTGCCGATGGAAATTGTCCCCGCGGGGCTCGTGCTTTCCGTTTGGCAGCCGGTGGCTTGGCTTGCCTGATATTCTGGAGCTTGGCTTGCTTGCCTGTAGCCCACTCAACATCTTGCTGCTCCAAGAACGTATCCAGCAGGCGTTGCCAGTGCTCCCTGTCTTGGGCTTGCTGCATCCAGTCGGTCCCCGCTGTCTTGATGACTTTGCGTTCATCATCCAGCTGGGAATGGAACTGATGCGGGTGCCTTGCCCCGACGGTTGGATGCAAGCGCTGTTGCGCGTTCCACCAGCGCTGGTTGCGCCATTCGAGGATATCCCTCGTGGGGCTCGGGTGGCGGGCGACGTGCCCCAGCAGTTGCCATCTCACCCTCAAGATGAACGAGCTCCAGCGGCCCCCGCAGCATTTCTTTCGGTAAACTTCCATGCGGGCTTCTCTCAGCGTTCTTTGATGCCATGAGAGCCATTCCTCATGGGGCCCCCGTTTGCGGCCAATGATTTCTCTGATATAATGGTATTGTATGCTGTTCGCAGCTTTGAGGATGTAATCAGATATTGGCCAGGTCTCGCAGGCCCACAGTGCCGCGCTCCGTATCAAGGTGATAGAGGATCGGAGCCTATCGTCAAGCCGCGCTTCTTTGCACGTAAGGATCTTTTTATTTGCGTGGTAGCCCCGACGTGCTCTGTGCTGCATCTCGCAGACCAGTGCCCCCGGTTGATTGATGAAGGTCAGCGGGGAACCGAGCACTGGCATGATGGACTCAGGGGGGTCCGCGGGTACTGTCCGGTCCCCGATCACAAAGCCTTCAGCGGCGCTGCGGCTGCACATCACCATCGTCTTCTTGGGGTTAATTTCGAGCCCCCTTTGCCGGAGCCGGGCCTGGGTCGCGTCCAGGCACTTCTGAATCCAGCTGTGGCACGACCCCCAAATGTAGGTATCGTCCATGAATGCCCCGATCCCGTGCGGCGCTGGGGGTAACTTGGGGTCAGGGCCCTGGCGGGGTTCTCCCCGGAGGTCCTCCACTACCTGGTCGATGGCTTCTCCGATCCCCGCCGAAAACAGCGAGGGGGAGTCCGGTGATCCCTGGCGCACTCCGTTCGTCTGGGAGATCGGTACGGTGGCGTCCCCGAGTACCACCTTGAATCCTCTTGCGCCGATCAGCTGCAGCCACGTGCGTGACTCCCACGGGAGCGAGTCCCCGAGCTTGTTGGCAATGAGGTCCCCGAGATAGACTTGGCTGATGGAGTCGAAGGCTTTACGCACGTCTAGCTTGATAATCCAGAATTTTTCCTGCCATTCGTGCGAGTGCTGGGCCAGGGGGTGCAGGGCCAGGATGAGTTCAACAGACTGGCTGCCAGCTTTGCAAAATTGGAGGGCCCCAATTGGTCGCAGCAGGGGCAGGCCCCGTCGAAGTAAGAGCTGTGCCGTGATCGTCAGCGAAGTCGTCTGGCGCTCGCGTCTTTGGAAGGAGGAGCCCCGGGGGGAAGGTCCCTTGTACAGCACGTCGTTGAAGAACCAGAGTAGCCTCGCCAGCCCCCGCCTGGTGAGAGAGATGTAGCGGACCGCTTCGTGGCTGATGCGATCCTCCCCGGTGGCCTTGTTGTTGCGCCATTAAGGCTTACGGTAAGCTCGCGCGCCCTCTCCTGAACAACGGTGGGGTCCTCCTTGGCGAAAATGGCTTGAAAGTGTTTGGCCAGTTGTTCTCTCCAGTCGTCCTTGTCCGTGAGGGCTTCCTCCCACTGCTTGTCCCCGCGCGCCTGATTCTTGACCTCCCGGTACGCGTACCACGATCGTTCTCCCGCTCGCCTTGCAAGGTCCTGGGCCCACGCTTTGTGCTCCTTCTTGCGGCTGCTGTGGACTTGTTTCCAGAGTCGACGACGGGTGTCCCCGCGGGAGCGCATTGGGCTGCGACTCGGAGCTTTTTGAGGTTCCCCGCTTTCCTTGAACCGTTCCCCCGGTCTCGGCATGGTGACCGCAAAGGCCGCCTCCTTGAGTCCAGCGTAGACATCGCCATGCGGTTGCAGAATGGCATGGACCTCTCGCTCCGGCATTGGCGGAAAGCGGAGCGGGCGGGCCCCCCAAGTCGGTTGACTTCTTGGTTGCCCCCCAGCGGGAGGCCGGTGGTCCAAAGGACGATCGCCTCGTGATCCGAGGCCGGGATGTCCCTGTAGTCGCTGATGTGCACTGTAGTGGAATGGGTGCCTTTGATCATCACGTAGTCCAAGCGGCGCGGCCGGAGCTCGGTATTGTATGGAAAATGGCTTGGTTCCTCAAGTCTCTGCGGCGGGAGCCGGAGTTGGTGCTCCAGAAGCCAGGCTAGGAACAAGTCCCCGCGTGCTGTGTGGGCCACGGCTGTGTTGCCCCCGGCTCTGGTAGTGAACGACTCGTTGGCGTCTGCTCCCATACAGACGCGCCTTTCCTGGATGGCGGGGTGCCGGGCGAGCGCTGCGAGCTGGACCCCGACCTGGTCCACAGTGGCATGGTGCGGGAGGTGGTACGAGATGACCCCGCAGACTGCCTTTCCCTCGCCAACGATGCACGTACTCACTCCTGCTCGGGTCACGGTGTTAGGGGTGTGGGTCCCCAACTCTTTGCGGAAGGCCACTGCTGTACCTCGCCAGTCCTTATCTGTTTTGCCAGCCACCAGTCTCCAGTGCTGGGAGGAGTCGTACTTGATCCCTTCGGGAACGACGACCTCTTGAAAGCACCAAATGTCAACTTTGTCAAGGGGTGGTGATCCCCGAATCGCAGGCAATAGAACCTCCAACGTCTTAGACGGGGTGAGGCCCCCGAGATTCCAGGTTGCCACAACGAGGTCACGGGTGGGCTGTGGCTGTGATGCCCCCCGTTGTTGGTGAAACTGCCGGCGCTGTTCTTTGGATAGTCACCGCAGGGCCGCCGCAAGCGGCCGCCATGCATCTGCGATGGTGTCCCCGGTAACTCCCAGGAGCCTTGCGATCTGCCCGAGGTCGACCCATCCTGGCCCTGCATCAGTGGCCCCCTCTGGCTTTGGGCCCCCGGTCGAAGAGATCTTGCGGTTGTCAGGGGTACCACCTTTCCCAGTCATGTTGCGGAGAATCGTGCCGAAGGTGAGGTCCCCGGGCCGCGCCGATCTTGTTCGGGTAGCGGATGCTAAACTCCGCCGCTCGCCACCAGGCGCCGATCCCCAGGTTCTTTGAAGCCACCGAACTCGCGGGAGTCAACGGGGAAGGCGAGGTCGTGTAGTGCAGCAGACTGGTAGTACAGAACGCACGGGGGGCTATGGAGGCACAGGTCTCTCTCTCAGACGTGCGCCCGGGTTGCTCCCCTGGTTACTCTCAGGGCTCGGGGCTCGAACCGCTTGAGCCAAAATGGTCTCTCTGTCTCTCTGTCTCTCTGTCTGTGTCTGTCCGTCTCTGTCTGTCTCTGTCTGTCTCTTCTGTCTCTGTCTGTCTGTGTCTGTCTGTGTCTGTCTGTGTCTGTCTGTGTCTGTCTCTGGCTGTCTCTGTCTGTCTCTGTCTGTCTCTGTCTGTCTCTGTCTGTCTCTGTCTGTCTCTGTCTGTCTGTCTCTCTGTCTCTCTGTCTCTCTGTCTGTCTGTCTGTCTGTGTCTGTCCGTCTCTGTCTGTCTCTGTCTGTCTCTTCTGTCTCTGTCTGTCTGTGTCTGTCTGTGTCTGTCTCTGGCTGTCTCTGTCCGTCTCTGTCTGTCTGTCTCTGTCTCTCTGTCTGTGTCTCTGTCTCTGTCTGTGTCTGTCTCTCTCTCTGTCTTTCTTTCTTTCGCCAGGCTTGAGGGCACGCCCCCCGGGGAGCAGCCCGTGCTGTTGTAGGGGCGCATGATTTTGCATGCGCTAAAAGTCGGGCACTCCACAGCAAGAGCAATTGCTGTGTTGTGCGCATTGCTCTCGCCCCACTGCCACTGAGTCAAAGGTCTCGCCCCTAGTTCAAACCATCGTATCATGTATCCTGCCTCACCAGGGTTTCTCTGCGGCGTTGGACCTTGGCGACAGCTTGTGGAGGCTTTGTCTCTCTCTGTGTCTCTCTTTTTTTCGCCTGTCTCTCTCTCTCTCTCTCTGTCTCTCTCCCTGTCTCTCTCTCTGTCTCTCTCTCTGTCTCTCTCTGTCTGTCAGTCCGTCTCTGTGAGTCTCTGTCTCTCTGTCTCTGTCTCTGTCTGTCTCTGGCTGTCTGTCTCTGTCTGTCTCTGTCTGTCTCTGTCTGTCTCTGTCTGTCTCTGTCTGTCTCTGTCTGTCTCTGTCTGTCTGTCTCTGTCTGTGTCTGTCCGTCTGTCTGTCTGTTTGTCTGTCTGTCTCTCTCTCTCTCTCTGTCTCTCTCTCTGTCTCTTTCTCTGTCTGTAACTGTCTGTCGCTGTCTGTCTCTGTCTGTCTCTGTCTGTCTCTGTCTGTCTCTGTCTGTCTCTGTCTGTCTCTGTCTGTCTGTCTCTGTCTGTCTCTGTCTGTCTCTGTCTGTGTCTGTCCGTCTGTCTGTTTGTCTGTCTGTCTGTCTCTCTCTCTCTCTCTCTCTCTCTGTCTCTCTATCTGTCTCTTTCTCTGTCTGTAACTGTCTGTCGCTGTCTGTTTCTGTCTGTCTCTGTCTGTCTCTGTCTGTCTCTGTCTGTCTCTGTCTGTCTCTGTCTGTCTCTGTCTGTCTCTGTCTCTGTCTCTGTCCCCTTCCCCCCTGCCCCCCCTGTCCCCCTGTCCCCATCCCCCTGTGCCCTGTCCTTCTGTCCCCTATATCCTGTCCCCCTGTTCCCTTCCCCTGTCCCCCTGTCCCCCTGTCAACCCCCAACCCCCCAACCCCCCAACCCCCAACCCCACCCCCCCTCAACCCCAACCCACCCCCAACCTTTCACCCCACCCCTCAACCCCTCAACCCCCCAACCCTGTCCCTGTCCCTGTCCCTGTCCCTGTCCCTGCCATGTCCCTGTCCCTGTCCCTGTCCCTGTCCCTGTCCCTGTCGGTGTGTGCGTGTGTGCGTGCGTGCGTGGGTGCGTGTGTGCGTGTGTGCGTGTGTGCGTGTGTGCGTGTGTGCGTGTGTGCGTGTGTGCGACTGTGCGTGTGTGCGTGTGTGCGTGTGTGCGTGTGTGCGTGTGTGCGTGTGTGCGTGTGTGCGTGTGTGCGTGTGTGCGACTGTGCGTGTGTGCGTGTGTGCGTGTGTGCGTGTGTACGTGTGTGCCTGTGTGCCTGTGTGCCTGTGTGCGTGTGTGCGTGTGTGCGTGTGTGCGTGTGTGCGCGTGTGCGCGTGTGCGCGTGTGCGTGTGTGCG